TTTTTTCTTTTTCAGAATAAAGGGTATTGCTGTCTTGTGAAACAAAAACAAAAACAAAGAAACAAAATTGTCCAATTGGAAAGTGTTACTGATGGGATTTGCACTCTTTTTACATTGCCACACTAATTCTTAACTCTACCATACCTTTTTTTCTAATAACAGACTTTTTTTTTTTAGAACATTTTTAGATTTACAGAAAAACTGAGAACACTCCATTTAGAGAGTTCCCATGTTACACCACCACCCACACAGTTCCTGCTAAAATTAGCGTCTTGTACTACTGTGGAACATTTGTTGAAATTAATGAACCAATATTAATACATTATACTTAACTAAAGTCCATAGTTTATGGAACTAAAGTGCATGGTTTGCATGCATAGTTTACATGGCTCACTCCTTGTGTTGTACATTCTATGGGTTTTTTTCTTTTTTGAGACAGAGTCTCGCTCTGACCTCAGGTGATCAAGACCAATCTGGCCAACATGGTGAAACCCCGTCTCTATTAAAAATACAAAATTAGCCGGGCATGGTGATGTGCACCTGTAATCCCAGCTACTTGGGAGGCTGAGGCAGGAGGAGAATCGTTTGAACCCAGGAGGTGGAGTTTGCAGTGAGCCGAGATTGCACTTCTGTACTTCAGTCTGGGCAACAGAATGAAACTGTCTGAAGAAAAATTAAATCCCTGTAATCCTAAACGGTGGGCGACGGGGAGCCCGCTGGGGAGTCTCGGCCAGCGAGAGGGTCCCAGCCTGGAAGAGGGGGTGCGCAGGAGTAAAGAGAGACAGAAAGCTGGGGTCTGGAGGACTGAATAGGCAATGCCTATGCAGGAAGTTTATTTGTGTCCAGGGTTCCAATATATACCTTTAGATTATAAGGATTGACGTCAGTGCACATTATGTAAGCTATACAATAAGGGGAACAGAAAGTTGCAAAAAGCACAGAAAGTTGCAAAAAGCACAGAAAGCTGCAAAAAGCAAATGTCAGCAGAGGGGGTACATAATCATGGGTCATAAAAGGTAAGCAGGTGATGTACTTTATCATTGTTAACAGAACATGTGGTCACAAGGATAACAATCTAGAAATGTCACAGGCTAAGCCATAAATCTTTATCTGAGTATAGGAATATCATCTGGTCCTCAAAAGGCTATACTTAACTTGGTAAACAGAGTCATAAAACCCACTCCTCAACAGGAACCGAAAGAGCACACACATCCATTACCCAGGGTCACTGTAGTCAGAAATAGAGGCTGACATTATTCTTATTCTCTCCATTCCTACTTCCCCATAGCTCGACTGCCTCCAGCAGGAAACTGTGTCTGGGATCAAGCTCACGCACAGTGAGGCCCAACACTGGGGGGGCTTCACACGGGAGCGTTCCCCACACTAAACCTCAGAAATATCAGGATAAATACAAAGTGTATTTTCTCTTAAAAAGTAATTCTCCATTGAAGAATTCTATAATAGCTATCCTTGTAGTAATGAGTACTTCTAGTGCACAGATTGTGGTCTCTAAAACACATTTCCCACTAGAAAGAACCAGGCTCCTTAGAGAAATGATATATTCCAGGGCTGGGGCAGGACATTTGCAGAATGCCCATACCAGAAAGCAAACAAGCTATCAAAGAGTACTGGGGTCATGTCACAAGAACCAGAAGCCAACTTAAAGGAGCTCCTCTTGGCCAAGTTTGGGTCAAGTGGAGAATCAAATTATTCACTGCAGTGAATTAAAACACATTCAATATGTTAAAAATCCACGTATATAGAATATACTCACTGGCCACCTTCTAAGGATGCTAGCAAATCACATCAGTTCTCTCAAAGCCAGTAAATAAAGGGAAAGAATAAAGCATTTATTCTGCCTTTCCCAAACAAATTGTACCTCAAGGTAACAAAAAAGCTGATAAAGGAAAGTTTTTCCATATGGAAGAATTCCAGATGCAGAAGGAATGACAGAATTAGAAAATCATCATTTAGGTGTACAAGAAAAATTCCTAAGAAAATCATAATTTGTAATTCCTAATGAAACAATGGGTGTAGGCCATGATCATCAATGACTGCAAAAGCCATTTGGTGAAAAATGTTGAAGAATTTTACCATAGATTGATCAGGCAGTCAACACTTGAAGGCGCTCATGAAAATAAACATTACAGAAGTACACAACTAGACATTATGTGCCTTCTGACATGATGCAAGAAGGAAAATACAACCTATGAAAGATTCTTGTCCAACAAACATATAAACTTGAATCTAATTAACCCTGCATATCATTGGACAAGGGACAGATTAATGACACCATAGGGATACTCAGCATCAGCAAAATCTGGAATGTGGTAAATTCTACAGAAAAAAATTACCTGGTTTCAACAAATAAATGGAAATAAAGGGAAAAAGCACATGTAGGAGACATCCATATGAGACGTAAGTACATATTACCCAAATGCAAGGTATGAACTTTGTTCAGATTCTAATTTGAATAAATAAAATGTAAAAAAAATGACACAATTGGGGTACTTTAAACACTGAATATTTTATGATATTAAGAAAGTATTCATAATATTATAGATGAATTAATGATTATATAATGATTTACTTAAAAGTCATTCTTTTTTTTTCTTTTTAGAAAAAAAGTGTTTTTTTCTAATAGGTCTTGGTACTGATTTTTAAACAGCTTGGGACATAATTCACATACCATTCACCCACTTAAAATGTATATGGTTTAATATACTCACAGTTTTACAACCATCACTACAAGACATTTTAGAACATTTTCATTACCCCAAAAGGAAATCAGAGTTTCTCAAATTCCCATTCACTGGAATTTCTGGTCAATCTTCCCTATCCCCAGACAACACTTTTTTTTGGACTTGCCTACTCTAGAAAAAAGCATTATCTTTTAGACTTATATTTTTATTTATGGATGAAATAAATTTATGTGTCTGGGATTTGCTTCAAAATAATCCAGTGGTAGGGGCTGGGAGCAGATAGGAATAGGTTATAAGGCAGAATGCTGACCAAGAAGTTAGGTGAGGGCGACTGATGCATGGGTGAAACATGGACTTCATTATACTGTTCTCTCTACTCTTATATGTTTGAAATTTTCTATAATAAAAACAAACAAGGTCATTTATTATCTCGTAAAGTCCCTGAGGTGGGCATAGGCAATGTTGATTCAGTGGCACAAAGAGGATTCATTCCATCACAGATACTGGTTCTTTCCATCTTTCTGCTGTGCCATTCTCAGCATGTTGACTTTACCTCCTGGGCTGGCTTCCTCATGGTGCCAGTGTGCTTGTGACTGTTCTACACATCACAGGCAGACGTCACTGTCCAGGGGCAAAAGAGGACACACTGCTGTTTTATGTCCATTTTTAAGACTGAGGGAACCTTCCTCAGAAACTCCCAGCAGCCTTATTTCTCCTTGGCCAGAATACCCTTGCCTAATTCACATAGCAAGAGGCTTGAGACCATTCTGATTAGCTTAGAATCCATCAAGATCCTCCCTTAGGGAGTTAGATTCTAGATTTCCTAGAAGAATGTAAAGATTGCAGGGTTGTACAGCCAGGTATGAAAATAAGCAAGTAAAAAGGTGATGACTGTTGGGTAACGCTATCGACAAGGTCAGCCACAAGACAGTCAAGCCAAGGGTTAGTCACAGATGTACCCCAGGTACAAAAGCACAGTCCAGAAGCTGAGGATGCCTGAGCCACGTTGGTTCCCGCCTATCTGGCCTGCGTAGGAAACTCCTGTGGTCTCCCTCACTGAAGAGCCAGGACGGGTCAGCCGGTAGTGGGTCTCACACACTGAGGCCCACAACGCACTGAGACTGAACATCAGACCATTTATAATAATAGAACTCTGTCCCACAACTTCTGCAGCAATAGGTACGAAACAACCTGATCTCTAACTGCCAGCCTCCCTATTCTTTTTCCCTGTCCCACTTAGGAGCAAGCACAGAAAGCCAAACAGGCTCCCTCAGCAATCACACAGGACGAGCCACCTCCAGTTAGCATGCTTAGAGCTTCCACTCGGAATGCTCCACGCAGGGCACACCCGGGGCTTTGTTTCTGTCACTAGGACGCGTCCCCATGCCCAGGCTGTCTCCGAGTCCCTGCCACAGGCGCGGATGGTGGCGGGCGCCCTTGCCCCGGGCTCCGGGTTAACGGCCTTGGACCGTTCTGAAGACACAGTCTTCGTCTCTCTCTTCAACAAGGCAAGGCGCCGGGAAGCCCCCGAGGAGATGACAGGGCCGAGCAGCATCAGGCGCTAGTCCCGCCCTGGATGCCGGGCGCCACCTCCACAGTCTCGGCCTCGGTTGCTGGATGAGAACCAGCGGGGCCGTTCAAGGGGGACGGGACAGGCGCGCCAAGGAGGAGAACCGCGGGAAGCAGCTTTCTAAGCCACAGTGCTAGTCGCGATCACAGGAAAAAGCTCGTCTCGCCGCCGCGGGGCCCTAAGCTCCCGCCCTGAAGGACGACGCCTGAGAAAGCAACGGCCCCAGGCGCGCGGACTTCTGGGAGTTGTGGTTCGTTGCGCAGAGCGCGGACACCGACGCCGGCCACCGGAAGCACCGCCATTGCGCTGCGCGTGCAAGTGAGCCTGGCCCTTCTAAGGTTGGCGCGGGGGCTTCACTGTTAGTCGGGTGGAGCCGGAGCGCAGGGCCAGGCCGGAGCGGCCCCAAGTGACCTGGGCGTGCCGGAGAAACGAGATGGGCCGGCGGGCGTCCCTCATGCGGCCGCCGGACAGGGGCAGGGAACTGATGTAATCGGGATCTCTCCGGCCTCGGGGACAGGGAAGGCTGGTCCAGTCAGAGTCCGCCTACAGCAGCGCCCGGCTGGGTCTGAGCTTGTCGGAGGCTCTCCTGCTTCAGAGCTGGCAGGGTACTGATAGGGCTGGGCCTCCTTGCAGGTCCGGGCAGGGGGTGGGCCTGGCTGGGCACTCCTGACACAGGGGGTCTGGGTCGAGGGCTGCAGGGGCTGGAGATTGAGGCCGGCGTGTGGAGCTCTGGGGCTGCAGAACCAGCTGGCCTCTCACTCTCCGTTTTCCTCCCTCAGCTCCCTTACCTTCTGCGGCTTATCCACAGGTGGTGGCCAAGAGCCTCCTGGCACAGAGGCACCAGGCAGGTGGCGCCTATTGCAACGCAGATGTCATCCTAGCTCCAGACGCGGACACGTTTTCTTCCAATGGTACGTGAAGCTTGAACCCTGAAGAGAACGTGTGTGTTTTCTAAGTGAAAAGAAGATTAAGGCCAGGCAGGGTAGGGGTAACTGGGGTGTTGGGGGCCTATAGTGGTTAAGCAACACTGGTGTACCCCAGTGACGGACTGCAGAGGTGAACAGGATGGGATGTATGTGTAATGCCTGTAAGTGAGGGCTCGGGGTTCCATTTGTGTTCTGGCAAGAGTTGATGGGGACCGTACAAGGAGTACTAATGAGAAAGGCATGGTGTTGGATTTCAGAGTCTAAGGGAGTAGGGAAACATCCGATTGTGGAAACGACTCCGTCTAAGGAGGGATGCCGAAAGACAGGAAAGAGTGGAGGAAGACTGTTTCTGTTTCAAGCGTGGAGCCAGGATAGAAGTCACTGTGCAAGGAAGATGTGGAATTCCTTGTCAGTCTCTGCATGGGAGTTGAGCACATGGGTGACATGGCTGAATATGGAGGAGGGAATGGCAGTGGCAGGAAGCCCCGGAGGTTTGGGCTAGACATGTAACCTGGGGCAAATTGGAAGCATCACCTCACAAGCAGGGAGAGAGAAAACTGGAAAAGAAAAGAAAAGAGAAAGAAACTCCCGCCCTAGCCCTGCAGCCAGAGGGACTCCTGCCAGATCAGCCCCCATATAAGTCCAGTATGAGGAACAGAAGGGGAATTTTATGTCCAAGTATAATCACTATGAATAAACATACATTAAGCTCTCTAAAGGCAACTCAGTTAATTCTTTCAGCATCCTCACAAGGAAGGGCTTGCTGTTTTTCCAGATGTCTACAGATGAGGAAACTGAGGCTTGGAAATGTTAAGGAGGCCTGTTCATAGTCCGACAGCAGCAGGTAATGGAGCTAGTACTTTGAAAGCAGGTTGCAAAGTGAGTGTTCTCAGCCCTTGCCCTCGCCCTTGCCCTCAGATGCCTCCAGACAAGGAAGGAAAAGATTAGAGAGCAGAGATGGACACAGGCAGTGAGAGATTCCCCAGGGAAGGCCAGGAGCATCAGGACAAGATAGTATCACATAGGGTATTTGGCAGCCTTCTTGGATATGGTCTATATTTGTGTGTGTGTCTGTGTTTGAGAGTGAGAGAGCAGGGCAGAGATGGGCAAGAGGAGGAGGGGGAACTGAGTGTGTTGGTCACTCTGTTCAGGGTTGAGCTGAGAGAAGAAGAGGTGTGGAGGTGGGGCACTGGGATATGGATTCATCTTGACCAGAAAGAAGACATCTCACCTTAGAATTTGAAGGGAGCTACTAATGAGTGCAGGCTTGCAGGAGTCTGTGTGCCAGGAAGTTGAAAGAGTCCAGAACCATCCCTTGGAGTGAATTAAAAGGCAGATTTGTCTGCATAGAGAGGATAATAGGGGGAAGAGGCTGAAATAGATAGTGAGAGCATGAGCTTGCAGCTGTAAGGAGATGGTTACTGAGTGGTTACTGTTATTCCTGAACTCCTATACCACCCAGGACTCAGAAACTAGTAGGGTTGGGCAGAGAGGACAGTCAAGCGCATGGGCACATGGGCAGATTTCACAGAACAAACAGGTTAGAGAGGCCAAGAGCCAAGGATGCTAAGAAAAATAACAGGGACAGTGGGCTGGTCTGGGGTGGGGTGTATCAGCTGGGGAGGCTGGGAGCTGAGGTCGTGTGCTTAGGGCCATGAGCTGTGGAGCTCCCAGCTTTGCACTCCCCAGCCACGAGGTCTCAGTTAAGTTTTACTCAAGTTTTTTCTGCCCTGGTTTCCTCATTCAGAAAACTGGGTAAATGCTGTTAATTGTCTTTGTGGGGTTATAAGGAAAATCAAATGGATGAATTGAGGCAGAGAACAGGGTACAGTGCCTGGCCCATAGGAAGTATAGCCTGAATGGTCAGTGGATTCTGAAGGGTAGGAAGGCCTGAGGCATTTGCTGGGGGAGGAGGCTGAGATCATAGGCCCCAGTATGTTTTGATTCATGTCTTATTTATTGATTTTATAGATGGGTCTCACATGTTACCCAGGCTTGTCTCAAACTCCAGGCTTGTCTCCTGCCTTGGCCTCACAAAGTGCTGGGAATATATGTCTTTAATACAGAGCAGCTTTTTGCATTTTTCAGCCATGCAGCTTATTTTATTGTCAACTATCTGTTTGTGACTATCACGTTTCTTCTTTTTCATAGGTCTTTATTTTCATGAAAGAAGCTTGAATGTTTTGTCAAGTTCCAAAAATAGCCCTGGTGACATTTTTTTTTCTTTTTTTTTTGAGACAGGGTCTCCCTCTGTCACCCAGGCTGGAGTGGTGGTATGATCATGGCTCACCGCAGCATCTGACTCCTGGGTTCAAGCAATTCTCCTGCCTCAGCCTCCCAGGTAACTGGGACTACAGACGTGTGCCACTACGCCTAGCTAATTTATTTTATTTTTTTTAGTATAGACAGGTTTTTGCCATGATGTCCAGGCTGGTCTTGAACTTGAAAAGTAATAGAAAATATAATATGTAATGGCAGAAATAAGAGTAGTTCTCACAGTAAATGTAATGGGTAGAACTCTGTTTTAGTAGACACTTCAAAATTGAATTGAAAGGCCAGGCATGCTGGCTTATGCCTATAATCCCAGCACTTTGGGAGGCCAAGGCGGGCAGATCATGAGGTCAGGAGATCAAGACCATCGTGGCTAACATGGTGAAACCCCGTCTCTATGAAAAATACAAAAAATTAGCCAGGCATGATGGCATGTGCCTGTAGTCCCAGCTA